GTCAAAATATGAACCGTTGTGTGCAAAAAAATGTTACGTAGTAGATGCCTATCTTTCTTCTTTTTGGAATAGAACTAAATAGTTACGTTTAATATTTCGGACCATATCAACGAAAAATTTAGTTTTTTAACCTTTAATGGTTACGGTGAAAATCGTTTAACCGTAGAATTCGTGATAAAATTTGAATTAATCTTGAACTAAATCTAAAATTTGGTTCAAATAAAACTAAAAACTGTTTTAAACAAACGAACGTAACTTTATTTCAAAAATTTACGAAAATACAAAATAATAAAATATTTTTTGATCCGTTACATTCTTAAGAAACTTTTCGGAAACACCGCAAACAAATTGGTTTTTTTATGAATAATACATAAGTCTTTCTTTTTAATTTTGATGGACAAATATGGCATAACCATCGAGTTTCCAGACGCTTTTATTCAGCTGTTGTTACCATTGTTGCAGTTCCGTTGTTTAGAACTCTTTCCAAAAATTAATTACATACAAAGATTTATTTTAATTTTATCTTTACAAGCTATGATATCAGGTTACTTTGTTTTATTAAAAATGTTCATAGGAAAGATAATGAAATAAACAATTCACATAAGGTTTACATGGGTTTATTAACACTGCCTGCGACCAGAAATCGTTTACCTGTAAAGGTATAAGGGGTTATGGATCATAACTCTCGTTCTCTGGGTATTCTTTTATTTTGCAATTATGTTTCCATTAATGAAGCTACTGGTGTTTTGGATAAGTGTTTTAAAAAGTCAATGCATTTCAACTTACGAACATATTTATAGCTTTTATTGATAACATATGCATTTATCATGCTAACATCTAACATTTCAAGGAATATTTCCATTGGCCATGAACGAGTCCTTCTGATGGCACTATAAGAGGTATATTTTTGGTCCAAAGAATCAATGCTTTTCTTGATATTCTGTAATACTCTATGATATCAAATTTTGTGCCTTTAGTAGCATTTGACATTGTGTGATGCATGGACGAAACAAGTAATACAGCTTTAGATTTTTGTTGAATGTGCGACAAAAGCGTTATATCCTCTTGAAATCCATGTAGAGAAGAACCTACTATTATTGATTACTGTGGTGATATATCTGCTTTATTTTTTTTTTCAACGTTCTTACGTAGGTTAGGCCTCTGTTCTTTTTTAACAACAATTAATTATATTAAGAGACTTCTACGTTGATTATTTACTGACGGGAGCTGAATCTGCAGAAGAGCCAATTAAGTTGTTTAAGGAAGTGGCAAATATTTAAAGTTCAGGTGACATGAACTTAAGAAAATGGGTGTCCAATGAGGCTGCTGTTCAGAACGGTTTAAATGGTGAAACTAGGGACTCTAATCAGGTAACTTTTGGTGATAAGAATTCCATTAAAACATTGGGCATGTGGTATCACTTTCGAGAAGATCAATTAAGGTTTTCTGTAGAATTTACGGATGCTAAGAAAAGAGCTAATAAAAAAACATTATTTATTACCGAATTTATTCCATTTGGCTGTTCCACTCTGTATAATTGATATGGAAATTTTAAGAGGATAAAGAATAAGGTAAAAATTAGATATTTAATATCGGGGTGGGTTATACAAATTGTAGAAGAAAGAATTTTGCTGTTTTAATATTTTGTACAGGGGTAAATAGGGAGGGGAGGTTAAATTTTTTGTTTTATTTAATTAGATTGTAAAAGCAATAGACCTATTAATTTTTCCCGCTTATTTAACCCTATATAATTTTTCAAATATTTTAACATTATACAATATCCCAATGGACCCCTTAAGATTGTAAACTTTGCCAGTGTGTACTTTCATATATTTCAAAACTTTTTAAAAAATCTGATGTGTCCAACACATGACTTTCCTATCTAGTTATTACAGGCTTTTTCCGTTTATTGTGTAAAATCTATTGCAGCATCTCTATAAATGTTTAGAGGATGAACTAAATATATACATTGTCCACATACATCTACCGCGAAACATTTTTCTATAGATATTCATTGAAAATGAAAATACTGAAAAATTTAAATTTAGCACTTTTCCTACAATTTTTCCATTACGGTCCATTTAAAAAAAATCATGTATGAACAAATATTATAGAGATCGATATCGCAAACAACTTTTATTTCAACAATTTTCATAAAAATCAGAATTTTGCACATTTTGTCAAATTTCTCGAATACGGACCATTTCAGGAAATTTTTATATAAGGCAAAAATTATAGATAATAATATTAGAAGTAACTTTTATTTGAATAATTTTCTTCTCCAATCATAAATAACAGATATATTCCATAAAATATAAAAACGGCCTACCATAAAGTACCCCCCCAGATGTTCCGACTCTGCCCAAAATCTAATAAGCTCATTGGACGCTGAAACAAAGCTTAAGTTTAAAATTTGGTGTTTTTATGTGTATCGGTTCATGAATTATGCGTTATACAGACACACACACACACACACACACACACACACACACACACACACACACACACACACACACACAGACACACACACACACACACACACACACACACACACACACACACACACACACACACACACACACACACACACACACACACACACACACACACACACACACACACACACACACACACACACACACACACACACACACACACACACACACACACACACACACACACACACACACACACACACACACACACACACACACACACACACACACACACACACACACACACACACACACACACACACACACACACACACACACACACACACACACACACACACACACACACACACACACACACACACACACACACACACACACACACACACACACACACACACACACACACACACACACACACACACACACACACACACACACACACACACACACACACACACACACACACACACACACACACACACACACACACACACACACACACACACACACACACACACACACACACACACACACACACACACACACACACACACACACACACACACACACACACACACACACACACACACACACACACACACACACACACACACACACACACACACACACACACACACACACACACACACACACACACACACACACACACACACACACACACACACACACACACACACACACACACACACACACACACACACACACACACACACACACACACACACACACACACACACACACACACACACACACACACACACACACACACACACACACACACACACACACACACACACACACACACACACACACACACACACACACACACACACACACACACACACACACACACACACACACACACACACACACACACACACACACACACACACACACACACACACACACACACACACACACACACACACACACACACACACACACACACACACACACACACACACACACACACACACACACACACACACACACACACACACACACACACACACACACACACACACACACACACACACACACACACACACACACACACACACACACACACACACACACACACACACACACACACACACACACACACACACACACACACACACACACACACACACACACACACACACACACACACACACACACACACACACACACACACACACACACACACACACACACACACACACACACACACACACACACACACACACACACACACACACACACACACACACACACACACACACACACACACACACACACACACACACACACACACACACACACACACACACACACACACACACACACACACACACACACACACACACACACACACACACACACACACACACACACACACACACACACACACACACACACACACACACACACACACACACACACACACACACACACACACACACACACACACACACACACACACACACACACACACACACACACACACACACACACACACACACACACACACACACACACACACACACAGACATCATCGCGAAAATAGTCAAAACGGATTCAGGGGACCTCAAAACGTAAAAATCCGTCAAAAACTCGAGGTCGAAAAAAATCATGATTCCTATACTTTCCTTATATCTGTATACAGATAGGAAAGTAAAAATATTAAAATATAGTCTTTTTAATCTAACTTTACACACCAATAAGACAAAATCTTATTTTCCTTTTATGTTCGTGCATCCCAGTTTTTAAAAGTTTGTTGTCGCCAAATCGACGACACCAAAAATGAGAATAAGCGAAGAAAATACACAAAAACTACTGAACAATGTTCCTTTTTAAGTGAAAATTGCAGTTGCGTCATCCTGCAAACAACGGAAACATTTCCTGTCTGTACTAAGATAAAGCGTCTAGAATAACGTGGATAAATATAATATGGAACAAAAGATGTTGAACACTGATGTGTAATATTATTGGAAATTTTTAAAGCGGAACATTCTTAAAGTAAAATACAAAGTGTGACGTGCCCCAAGTTTAAGAAATGTGGTAAGTGTACCAAAACATTTTAAAAATATTGTTAAAGTAATGAACACCTCCTTAACCACACCGGTTGAGATTAAATAAATTATATATTTTTTTATATTTTGTATTTTCTTTCAAAAACGAAACTGGTACAAAAAACACGACTTTGTGACATTATATTTTTAAAGCATTGATTTTGAAAGAACACAAAAGTACACAAGATTTATATAGACAAGTAAAAGTTTGGTTAGAAGTGTTATATAAAAGTGTTAAAAAAAAATTTGTTGAAAGTGTAAAAAGTATATGGATTTGCGAGGAGGAAGTAAGCTTGGAACAATGGAAGACAATGCAGGAGATGAGGAAGAGAATTTACAACAGGTAGGACAAGGAGATTTAGATAATACAGGCATGGAAGAAAAAAACGAAGAATCAGGGCAGCAACAAAAGGAAGATGGAGGTAAGAAGGAAGATGAGGGAGTTTTAAGGAGCATATTTGCGGCAATAATGGAAATAAAGAAAAACAATGAAACAATGTCTATGGAGATAAAGAAAAACTCTATGGAAATGAAGAAAAACAATGAAACAATGTCTATGGAGATAAAGAAAAACTCTAAGGTTAATAGATGATATAAAGGAATGCATTGGAGAAACTCTGGACAATCAAGCATTAGTATGGTTTGCAAGTTAAGAAATTGAAATGAATTGTTTTGAACATTATAGGCGAATGTGAGAGAAAAACTGTATTTAGGAGAGTTTGATGAAAAGAGAGGAAGTAGTTATAGCAATTATGCTCTACAAGTATTTACAACTGCTCAATATTTAGACCCCCCTATGCCAGAAGGAGAAATAATAATGTACATTTCTAGACATTTCAAATCAGAGTTGGCTGAAACTATAGCGTTCAAAAACATGATAACAATGAATGCATTAATTATTTATTGAGGGTTGAGCAGAGTTTAGGAAAATTCTCAAAGAATGGATTTGGAGAGGATGGAAGAACAAGGAAATATAATAATTATGGAAATTATCAGTACAATGACTTGATAAATAAGCAAAATAGAAATAACAGTAGCTTTATGTCAAAAAATACATATTATGGAAATCGAAATGAAAATAATAAAAATCATTATAATTATAAAGTGGGAAATTTTAATAGTTATAGAGCAGAGATCCCAAATATAAGAAATAGGGGAAATGAAAGAAGAAAAAGGCCTCTTAAATCAAAACGAAGATCGCAGACAAAATGGAAATCAAAAGCAGGTGGCAGAAGAAAGAAATCGAAGAATGAATAATATACGAGTGACGGAAGATGATTAAGCAGAACTTATTAATGAAGAGATCAATGAAGAAAATTTTATCAGAAGCACTTACCAGAATTAGAAAATAAAATTTGTATGTATGAACATCCGATGGAATTTATAAATTTGGGGGAACATATAGATCAGGGAATGGGAGAATGGGGGTTAATTTATTTAAAGGGAAAAATGGGGGATAAGGACATAAAATTTTTAGTAGATACAGGGTCTGAAGCGTCGATTATAAATGAAAAATTAATAAGAAGGGAATATGACGTGAAAATACAGAAAGTGATTTTGGTAAGTGCAAATGGAAAAAAAATTGTATGAAGTGAATAAATCTGTTATAAGAAAGATTGTATTGAATGACAATAAGAAAATAGAAATGCAATTATTGGTGGTACTAAAATTATGTATGTAAATATGTATGTATAAGGCAAGAATTAATTATGAAAGTAGAATGGTAGAAATAGGTACAGAGAAAATTTAATTTTTGATGAATGGACAAGAAAATTATGAGCAAAGTAGGCAAAAGAAAGTAAATTGTGTCAAGAAAGTGTGCGAAAATGAGAATGAATTGAATAGTATAGATGTTATGTGCAATGAGAAGTATAAAAAACAGGTTATGGATCTGATAATGACGTATAAAAAGCTAATTCTGAAGGAAATGAGAGTGGCAGAAAGGTATGTACACAAAAATTGAAGTTAGGTGAATAGAAAATTTTAGGGTAAAGACATATCTTATACCATATAAATATAGGAAGGGTGTTGGAAAGAAGATAGAGAAAATGTTAGAAGGGGGAATAATTGAGAGAAGTAATACAAGGTATGTTAGTCCAATAGTAGTTGTAAAAAACAAATGGGGAGTTAAGACTATGCTTAGATGCAAGAAACATAAATAGGTATTCTATACCACAATATGAGGCTCCTATGAATGTTGATGCAATTTTTGGTAGGTTAACAGAAACGAAATATTTTTCAAAAATTGATTTAAAACATAGTTTTTGGTTGATTCCGTTAGAAAAAGAAAGTCGAGATTATACGGGGTTTTGTATTGATGGAGTGATTTATAGATTTTGTATCGTTCCATTTGGTTTGCAGAGTGCCTGTGCAGCTTTGGTCAGAGCATTACATCAGATATTAAATACATATGAAGATTTTGTATACCATTATGTTAATGATATTTTAATCTTTTCGAAAAATGCAAAGGAACATATGGGAAATGTGGAACTGGGCTAAAGATAAATATATATATATATATATATATATATATATCTAGCTACGTGGCATTACTGGGACTCCATTCCATAAATGGCCTACCAAAACTCCACCGTATATACGCCATTATATACACCGTTATTTGTAAAGACTAATTCAACTACCATTAGTTGGATAGGTCAACGTAACGTCCACTATATACATTTGACATATGTTTTGACACTGTTTATGTTAATGCGCCTCCTCTTACTAGAGATAATGTATTTACTGAGGCTCCAAGCACTGTTGCCACTTTTTAATAATTTATTTAGCAGAAGGAAGAAAAACCTAATTACACAGACCATATGTTTTTATTTAAAATAATAATAACCCGTTGAAGATAAACCTTCTTAGCGAGTAGTATGCGAATTCGTCGTTTCTGCCGGCAAACCAATTGCAATAGTTCTATTCTTTTTAAGTCTTCTCAAGTTTTGTGTGTATATATTATAATGACTTTTTTGCTCAATACTAGTTTAAAATTAAAATTTTTGTTTTCATAAATGTAATAATGGTGTTTACAAAAAGACAAAAAATTAAATAATGTTGTTACAGATACCTCTCAGAAATTTTTTGCCGATATTATTATTACATATAAGGTTTTAAAAGATCTGGCTAAACAATGACCGATATTGTTTTAACAACAATTGAAGAACATTTAAAAGAAGTAAATTATAAAATCACATCAATGAATAATATATCAGTACGCTTTAAAGAAAATAAAAATCTACATGATAAATTTGATGAACAAGAACAAAAATATAGATTGAAACATTTACGTCTACATAGATTACCAGAAGGTACTAAAAATAATTTATAAAATAAAATATCTGATGGTTTTAGGTTTTAAACAATGCAGAACTTTTTATGAAGAATAACTTTTTCTCGTTAATTTAATAATAAAAAAGTTTTTAATATACTGCGTACTTAAGTGGACTCACTGTATATTTAAAACTGGTTAAAAAATTATAGAAATCTGTTAATAGTTTCTTACTACATAATATAAATTTTTAAACAAATTCAAAAAAAAATCCTTAAAGCTTACTGATGAGTAAACATTCTCATTATATATCCATACGGTACGACTGGGCCCACCTTGTTAATTTTTAGGCTCACTAAGACTCTGCTGTAGAGTCCATATATTATTAACAGCGGAGTCTCAGTGAACCTAAAAATTAACACGCCTGGAGGCCCAGTCGCACTTTATAAATATAGCGAGATATATAGTTTAGGTATATATATATATTAGGACGTATATAGTACCTTAATATATAAAGAACCACAGTTCCATTAAAAAATATTTATTTATAAAAAATTCATGAAAAAATAAAAACAAACACGTAAATAAACATGTCATATTTGCACTAAAAAAAAGCCATAAAAAGAAAACTAAAAATTCAAACTCCTATGTAGCAAATATTCAACACTTTTTTGCGTACCTATTACACACTTTTATATTCTCCCATTTCCTATATTTAAAAATCTGATGTGTCCAACACATGACTTTCCTATCTAGTTTTTATAGGCTTTTCCGGTTATTTTGTACAACCTATTGCAGCACTTCTATAAATGTTTAGAGGAGGATAAACCAAATATATACATTGTCCACATATATCTACCTCGAAACATTTTTCTATAGATATTCATTGAAAACGAAAATACTGAAAAATTTAAATTTAGCACTTTTCCATTACGGTCCATTTCAGAAAAATCATGTATAAACAAAAATTATAGAGATCGATATCGCAAACAACTTTTAGTTCAACAATTTTCATAAAAATCAGAATTTTGCACATTTTGTCAAATTTCTCGAATACGGACCATTTCAGGAAAATTTGACATATTACAAAAATTATAGATAATAATATTAGAAGTAACTTTTATTTGAACAATTTTCTCCTCCAAACATAAATAACAGATATATTCCATAAAATATAAAAACGGCCTCCTATAAAGTATCCCCCCAGATGATTCGACTTTGTCCAAAATCTAATCATTTCACGTCAGGCCCAAATAAACCTTAAGTTTAAAATTTTATGTTTTTTTCTTTATCAGTTTTTGAGTTTTCTTCAAAATTCGAAATTTACACATTTTCTCAAATATCTCGAATACGGTCCATTTTAGAGAAATTATGTATAGAATAAAAATTATAGAGAATTATATTACAAACAACTTTTATTTAAACAATTTTTATAAAAAATTATTTTTTTTACATTTTGTCAAATTTCTCGAATACGGACCATTTTAGGAAAATTTTGCATAGAACAAAAATTATAGATAATTATTTGAAGAATTTTCTTCTCCAAACGTAAATAACAGATATATTCCATAAAATATAAAAATGACCACCTATAAAGTATCCCCCCAGATGTTCCGACTCTGCCCAAAATCTAATCAGCTCATTGGACGCTAAAACAAAGCTTAAGTTTAAAATTTGGTGTTTTTCGTTGTATCGGTTCATGAGTTATACAGACACACACGCACACCCACACGCACACCCACACGCACACCCACACGCACACCCACACGCGCACACGCACACGCACACCCACACGCACACACACAGACACAGACATCATCGCAAAAATAGTCAAAACGGATTCAGGGGACCTCAAAACGTAAAAATCCGTCGAAAACTCGAGGTCAAAAAAAATCATGCTTCCTCTACTTTCCTTATATCTGTATACAGATAGGAAAGTAAAAATGAATCATTTTAGGTTAACTGAGACTCTGCTGTAGAATCCGTATATAATTGATAGCGGAGTCTCAATAAACCTGAAAACTAGCAAGGCTGGAGGCCCAGTCACACTCTATAGATATAGCGCTAGATATAGTGTATATTAGGAACATATCTTATAGTACCTTAATATACAAAGAACCACAGTTTCATTAAAAAATATTTATTTATTTTTGTGTACCTATTACAAACTTGTATACTGCCCCATTTAGTATCTTTAAACCTGAATATATATTTTTTTTTATTTGAAATTTTGGGAAACTAAACCAAGGAATGTACACTACCTTTTTAATTATATTAGGTGACGTAATCATTAAAAATGGCAGACG